AAAAGCCTTGCAGGTCTGTGTTTGCGGCTGTTCGCCATCGGTCAGGGTCTGGTCCTGGTGCTGCTTCTCCACCTTGGCTCGGGGTGGTTGCTGATACTGGGCACATGTGGCAGGTCTGGCCAAGTGGCACTCAGCAAGCACGGCCTGAGCCTTGGAGACTCTGGTTGAGCTCAAGGCAGTGCTGGTTGGGTCTGGGGCTGAAGGCAGCAGACTTCCACAAGGCCAAGTCCTAGGATTTGGGCACGAAAGAATCTCTTGCCAGCAAAACTGAATTGCTGGGTTTGGGAAGGCTTGGGGCTCCCACACATAGAACAGTGTGGGTCCCTTGTGGGCCTGCTAATTAGAAGCATGGTTTATTGATAGATCTAATATGTGCCAACAGTGGTCCCATATCCCCTGGTAAGGGCCTTCTCTGCTTGTCCTTATTATACTGATTTTGGGGAGGTTTGGGCCTCCTAGTTCAGGAACACTTGGATCTTGAGGGAAGAGCCTGAGCATCACTTTGGCTCCTGGCCAGCAGGCATGCAGCTGTGTGAGAGTAGAGGGTCCTGATCCGTGATGTGCAGGCACGTCCCTCTGTCCCAGAACACCTTCACATACATGTTCCTTTGTAGCCTTTATGCGGGTCTACAGAGTAGGTGTTCCCATTCTGTTGACAAGAAGAGTGCAGATAGAGTCTGTCCAGCGTCAGCAGTCAGAAAAATCTGTTGGAGGCCAACATTGCTGACAGAAAATTGAACTTCAGCTTGTATTTTGTCTCCTGCGTTTTTGGCCAAAAAGGACTAGCCTCAGTGTAGAAAGGGCAGGACTCACAGGTTAGAAGGAGGTGAAGTCCGAGGTGCAGTAAGGTGGTAATGAGAGGGCTTTGTGCTCTAAGAACGGCAGGCCTTTGGACACAGCCAGGACGCAGGGGTTTCCCAGGAGTCTGCTGGGCTCTTACTGAAGAGGACTGAAAGGGATGTGGAGAAGACCTGGGCTGACTGAAAAGTAGCTAAAAACCCAGGAAAGGAAGCTCATAGAGCCATCGGTCACTGCTCAGTGACATTGACTGGGAAGTGTGCACCCACACATGACTCGAGAGCAAAGGCGTATGGGATGAGAACAGGCAGGTTAGGTGTGCGTTGTGAGCCTCAGAGCAGATGATGCCAGACTACTCTTGCGGTCTTTCATCTTATTAACTAGCATAAATAATCCGGACCCAGTGAAGTCAAAGCATAGGAGAGAAGTTGGTGACGGATCACTGGCTGAGGCAGATGAACTCACTGTGGGCTGATGGGTGATGTGTCCTGGGGCACTGTCTGGCCCCTCCTGTGATATTAATGATGGGTGAGTTCTCTCATGCCTTTTCTGTTTCAGAAAATAATCTGAAGCAGGAACAACCCACTCCGTGGTGGTTAAGGAGGCTGGATCCCATGTAGATGACCAGGCAGCAGTGTGTGCATGCCCAAAATCCCAAAAGGAGAGGAAATGGAGACAGGACCACAGTGTGACTGTGCCACGTCAGGCGTGCTTTCTCACTTTCCTTTCTCTGTCCCCAACAATTGTGTGCACCCTGTGGCAAATTATTAAAAAAAAGAATTTGAAGCCATTTATACAACAGATAGTATTACGATAGATCAGGGGAAAACGCCAATCAGATTTTTAGATAACAGGAGACCCCTGGGAAGGATGACAATTTAGGATTCAAGTAAATACCTCTAGGAGTTACAAAGATAGCAGAATCTAAATGCTTTTTTCGTATTTTTTTTTTCTTTTCTTTTTTGGAGAGGTTTTTGCTATAGGGCGCGTGTGCGCTCGCCAGAAAGATAGAGACAGACAGAAAGCAAGAAGTCCCCCCCCCCCCAGGAGAGATGGCCACACTGCAATCCCTTCTCCATTCTCCTCTTGGGATCTTGGGCACGCACACACATGTGCTTGGTGTGAGTTTAAGCCACTGGGTCTGGGACTCGAACCGCGGTCGACTACATGGGAGTCCAGTGACATAGCCATTACGCCAACTGCTGGTCCCTAAATGCTTTTTTCAGTAAATGAAGATTGACGGTAGTTGCCCTGGAAAATGTGGAGGGTTAGAGTCCTGATCTTCCACTGACAGTGCTGTGTACCAGTAATAAGTGTCATGCCAGAAACCGTTTAAATGTGTCCAGAAAACTCCAGAGTGGTCTTTGGCTGGGCTCATAGAAATAGATTGTCTGAGGTAGTGTGAGGAGTTCGTCTTTCTGGGCCTCAAGAAGAGGCTCCCCGATAGATGAACCCTCTGCAAGAGCACGCACATTGTGTCCAGGGAAGGAAGCTTGAGGGAACTGAGGATGGTTAATAGGGAAGCCCAGGGGAAACGCATACAGCTTTGGAAAATTAAGAGATCGCCCAGTGGAAGACGCACGGGCAGACCTGTAACCAATACGTAGATAATAAACAAAAGGTTGGTTTCTAGCTGCCCCTTTTTTTTCAGTTTCAGTGGACATTGAACCTTGGTGAGACATGATAGACCAGTGCTAGTGCCGGTCAGGCTTGGCCCCAGCTCTCATGGAGCTGGTCCAGGAGAGGGATCAGAAATGGTGTAATAAAGGTGGGTAGGGACTGCTGTGAGAGAAATGAGTACTGTGTTCAGTTGCCGCCGGCTGATGGCAACTAGGGGGAAGAAGTCAGGGAAGGCTACGTGGAGGTGGTGACCCTTGAATTGGGCCCTGATCATTCTGTTGAGGCCTCGGGAGCACTAAATGACTGACTGCATATGGTACTTTGCCTGAAGTAGACCACTTTACAAAGGAGGTCATTTTGCTCACCCCATTTTACGGATTGTGGAAACTGCGGCAGAAATGAAATATTACCCACTGGAGGTCACACTGCGGGCGTGTGCTGACAATCCAGACAGCATGCCCTATTGCCAGTTCTCTCTTGCCTCCTGTGCGTTTTCCCAAGCAGAAGAGAGGGGTGGGCTGTTCTGGAGCCAGGAAAGGCCGTCCTGGAGCAGGATTGCATCTTCAGAGCCCACAAGCACAGAAGACCCAGACGTGGCTGGGAGGGTGACTCAGGATGATGCGATGGAGGTGGGAGTCAGCAGTGCATCCTGGTGTCCTGGCGGCGGCGCCAACGGTCCAGGCAGGAGCCCCCAGGGTGGGCGGACGACGGCTGGTGAGGTGCCGCCGGGCAGTCAGCAGGGTGGTGGCTGAGGGGCTGCAGAAGCAGCTGTAGGAGGAACCATGACAGGGAGGCTGGACGCCCAGTTAGCAGTCACAACTGTCACGGGGAAACCCGGCTTCTCACAGGGGTTTAGACCAGGACTTGACCGGTACCAAAACAGTCCAGAGTAATCGTTAACAAAGTTTTTAATTCGTGAATTCATTATCGACCTTTCTCTGGGAGGGTGTAGGCCAACATTAGCCATCCAACGAGGACCCTCAGTCCGATTTTTTTACTTGAGTAGGTGAGGAAAGGGAGGCCTTACTGTTAGTTTCCTGAATTGGCAAATTGTCTTTCATCTCTTTGTGGAATACATGATTTTGTAGCAAACTGCTGCAGGAAACTGAGGAACCAGCCATGGGCCTACCTAGAAGGCCTGTGAAGTCTTGAGTTGTTCTGGCTTGGCATGATTACATAGCTGGGAAGTGAGTGAGCTGGGGCAAGTGACATCACCTTCAGGCCTTGGTCTCCCCATCTGTCAAATGGGGAGCTACTACCTACCTCACAGGAGTGTAGTTGGGGTTAGAACTAAAGCGCTTCAAGTGGGGAACAGTCCCAGCCTAGCCCCCGCCGCGCTGGGAGCTATGTTTAGCTGTCTCCCTGACTCACTGGATCAAACTGACTCAGTTCGGTTTCACAGATGCTGCTGCTGCTAAATCAGGGTCTTGGTGAGCCTCTGGGAGGACAGCTCTGTGAGGAAGGACTGTAGCTCTCCAGCCTGCCTGGGGACAGGACAGGGACAGGTGGGGAGCCCCGCTGCCTTCCTCCCGCCCAGCAGGGTTTCTGTCACTGTTCGTGGCCTTAAGCGTGTCCGGTGTCGGTGCTCTCTCTGGACTTTCCCCTCCGCTTAGTCCAGGAACATGGCTGAATTCTTCGCATTTCCTTGCAGTCGCTGTTGCAGGGTAAAAAGCAGAACTCGAGGGTGGCCATGCTCTGGACCATGCAGTGAGAGCTTCAGTGAACTGAGATTAGAGCCACGGTCCTGGAAGAAAAGGGAGAGAGGCCCAAAAAAGAAGGGTAATTTCCCAAAAGACAAGGATGGGGAGAGAAGCCCACGGGGCCTGTGAGTGACCCCGTCCTGACCTCGCACACACCTACAGATGAGAGAACTTCCCAGGGAAGAGGCTGCAGGGAGTCCCTGGAGACGCTCAACCCTGGGCACCATGGCCAAGGAAAGGTCCCTGTGCCTGGGGCAGCCAGGCCAACGCTGCCGGGTGTGCAGGCTCCTGAGCATGGAGCAGCAGAACCTGCGGGCTGAGGCTAGCGGGTCACACCATGTGACCCCGGGACACGTGAGACCCCGGGACCTGGGCAGGATCCAGAAGAGAGGAGCAAACAGTGAATGCCCCACCAGGTTGCAGGATAGAAGCCTGTCTGCTCTTTTTTGATTAAAATAAAGAAATGTATTTCTTCCACTCCTGATTTTGTGGTCGCAAATTCATAACCTCATATTCCTCACCAGCTCCCTTGCCTCAGCCCGATGCACCAGTTCACTGTGAGGGCACAGGTGCCAGTGCCCTGTAGCGTGCCCTTGAAGTTCCTTTTCCACCAAACGGTCAGTGGCAGAATGCACCCAGTGGCACCACCAGCCCTGACCTGGTGGGTTTGAGGATGAGGTGCTTTCTCCCAGACAGCCAATAAATGGCAGAATGGGGCTCCTATCATGGGCTCTGGGCCAGACTGCCTGGGTTTGAACCCTGGCTCTGCCACTTACCAACTGGGTGACTTTGGGCAGGTTGCTTAATTTTCTGTCTCTACTTCCTAATGCACAAAACAAGCACAGTATTCATGTCTGTTTCGCGAGGTGACTGAGGACGGACATGGATGTAACCCAGCACTCCGTGGTGCCGCCTCCTCGTGCGTGGTAAGTTAGCTGTCATCTGTCTAACCCTAGGCCTTATGCAGTTCTGTCCACCTAAATCTGCCCTTGCAGAGCTGGTCTTCCCAGAAAGACCCAGTGTCTCCAGTGAACCATTCCATCTCCATAGATGGGTACCAGAGCCCTGTGGTGGAAAAGGCCAGCTGGACGGCTGAGGCCCGTGGTCCCAGACCCTTCTCAGGAGAGGGAATAGGAACAGATAGGAGAAGGCTGTAAACAGAGCCTTTTCCTCCCTCATTCTCAGATCCCAAAATAACATTTGTCCACCCCCACCCTGCCCAGCTGGCAGAGCTGCAGGCTGAGTAAGGTGCCATTTAAAGATAACCTGGCCCTCCCCGTCTGCCCCGCTGGCCAGGCCAGGCCCTGGCCCTGCACCCACAGCCACTTGGGGTGGGCCTGAGCAGGGGGCTCCTCACAGGGGCCATGCAAGCCAGCCAGCTTCATCCTCTCAGTCCTGAGGGCCAGGCTGCCTGAGCTCCTCCCAGATTGTCTTGGGCACTCTGCAAACAAGCAGAGCCTGGCATTCTGGGAGAAGGAACCCTGCAAAGGAATCGGGAAGAACCTCTGGGGAAGAGTATGGATTCTTATCAGGATCTGGCAGCAGCAAGACGGAGCCCCACTGTCCTTCACCTGTCCCCACACCCACCCCTGGGGTCCCCACCAAGAAGATAGACAGGAAATAACCTTTCATTTTACAGCACGAAAGACGAAAGCCAGACAGCAAAGTTCCAACTTAGGAGATGTGCATTTACACGGAGGCAGCAGAAGCCAGCAGACCTGAGACCATCCCCAACGTGGCCAGACATCATGGCCAGCTTCCTGAGCTCTCCTGGGCCTTGCTCTCCCCAGCTGTGAACCACAGGAGAATCTGGGTGTCCAAGACATCCGAGCAAGGACTTGGCAGATTAAAGGACAGAGGACTGGACTAGAGGTGCCAAGGACTGAAGAAATGTGTAGTTACTGTCTGCAGGAAAGATGCTCCCCAAGAGAGCACTAGCTGCTCAGAGGCAGGAACTATGAAAGGGAATGCCCCTTATCTTGGAGTGGCTCAACTCAAACCATCACCGCTGGACAGAAGTGGGTCAGAAGCCTTGGGGATGCCGGCTGTGAGATCTAGGGCCTGGGGAGTGGGGTCAGGAGGGCCTCAGGGATACCCTGATAAGAGAGGAGCATGGACGGGGCTGGGAGGAGCCTGGACTGGTCATTCAGCCGGGAGTGAGGTGACTCAGCAGTGCAGCCGCCACAGCCCCAGGCCAGGCCCTAACTGGGCCCTCCCCCCACTGCAGAGAGCTGCCAGAGGCAGACCATGTGCGCTGGGGATGAGCTGGCCTGCCCAGCTTCCCAGCACGTGCCCTCTGTGACAGGCGCAGCCCCAAGCTGGTGAGACAGGTTGGTATGGAAGTGAAGGACCGGGGCTTTGAAGTCGCAGAAGCCCAGTTTCAAAGCCCAGCCAGGTAACTGGGAGAATGAAACTTCTGACCTGTTTGCACACCTGTACAGTGGGACAAGCTCGCCCATGGCGTTAGCTGCAAGCATTTTCATCATAATCCGGGCACCCTGGGGAGAGACCCTGCTACCAGCAAAAGCCATGTTTTGTCTCATTGGGTCACAGAGTACTCTCTCCTCTTTCCCGTCAAAACGCCTCTACCCACTTCTGGGGCAGACTAGCTTGGTGGCAGAGGTGTGCCTGTGTGCCCAACCTGGAGAAGGTGAAACTTAGACAATCCTTTCCAGGACCCCCGGTCCCTCTGCAGTCCTCTCACCCAATCTCCTTTCCCAGATGTCCCAGCCCCATGGCTGTGCAGGACCCCAGTCTGTTATGGCGGTGTGGCCAACCCTGGCTCCACCTCCAGGCTCCGGCACTAAAGTAAGACCCAGCACCAGTTCTCGCGCTGTCAGCCCAGCCCACGGCCCCAGACCAACCGCTGTCTGACCACGTCCATCCATGGGCTGACAAGCTTTCCTGGGTTCCTGCGATCGGGAATCACCGATGACACTGGTGAGAGCCGGGTAACTCATGGGCTGGAGTGTCAACCGAGAGAATGAGCTTGGAGAGCTAGTCCGAGAAAGGAGCGACGGAGCATAGCAAGAGGGGCGTTTCGGGAAGCCTGGAGTTTGGGTTTTGTTTTTGTTTTTAAAAGTTTTTGTTTTGTGTGTGTGAATTTCTTCCCCAAAAGGAAAAAGAGCTGCTAAGGGGGGCTGACAGATGGCACGGTGGTTAAAGGCACTGGACTCCCACATGGCTGACCACAGTTCAAGTCCTGGACCTGGCAGTTTGCTTTCTCCCTTTCTCGCTCTCTCTGGTCAAGTTAAAAGAGAATAGTAAATAGAAACATATACATATATATTTAAAAAGAGCTGGTAAGGAGGGAAAAGGAGAGAATGAACAGATAGATCAGAAGAGGTCAAGCCTACATGTAGGAGAGGCAGCCCTTCACGTGAGGGTCACTGGCCAACACTAACAGTGCCTCTGGGGAGGGCTGAAGGACATGAACGTGGCCACGTGGTCCCTGCACTCACAGCGCTTGTGGTAAGGAAGAGGAGATGGTGGCAGTGGGCCCATGTGTGGGCGCTGGCGGACCCGAGTGCCTCACTGTCCTGGCCGCTGTGTTTATGACGTGTCCTGCATAAGTTCACACTCCGGCCAGGCCGTCATGCTGCCGGCGGCTTCCCAGGGCAGGAATCAGGCTCTCCGGGATCGGGGTACCAGCACCCTTCCCAAAGCATCTCTCTGGCTGCCTCTCCTAACCTCTTTAGATTGAACGGGGCCTTCCATGACCCAGCTGATTCCCACACCCCAGGACACCAGAAAGGCTCACCTTCTGAACTGCCTGCTGGCGCTGCCTGCCCTGACCGAGTCAGACAACTTGGGCCTGTCGTCTCTGCCATTTACGGGCTGTATTGCCCTTGAGCGAGTCCTTGAACGTCCTAGGGTCCTGGTTTGTAAGACAGGATTGGTAACAACACCTACCAGCCCCCCTTAGTTCAGGGACTTGTGGAAGACAACAGCAGCCGGCCGGCCAGGTGTAGAGCCCTTTGTGCTCTGCCTAGCTCGGGTCCCTAGCTTGACTCCCGGTTCCTGGTCAGGGTACTCGGGAAGCACGGGGCATGGTCTCTGCACTCAGTAGAAATTTGTGAGGTGATCAGTCAGTCTCCCCCACCCTACAGCAGTCTGCACTTGTGATGAACGGTCACCCGGGCTATGCTCTCCTGGCTAACGCCCTACGTTTGCAGGCTTGCGCTGTAAAGGAAAGAGAAACCAGCAGGGTGTTTAACGGATGGGCCCCCAGTGGCCCCAGCTCCCCAGGGAGGCCATGGGCTGGTGCATGCAAGGGCTGTCCACTCAGAGGGGGAAGGGGCCTTCTCGGGGAGCCAGTGCAGCTGGCAGGGTCCAGGCCTGTGGGCACCACTGGGGACAAAGCCGCTCTGAATGGCCTCTCAATGGGTGCCTGTGT